GTAGATAACCAACTTTCCCAGAAAGTAGATATTTCATTTTTCTGTGATACAAACTTCCCGTTTTCTATGATAATCTACTGCAAAATTAGGTAATATTTCCCAAAAGTCAATAATCTACTTCGAAATCGATAATCTACTTTCCCGAAAAGTAGATAATCTACTTTTCCGGAAAGTAGAATAACCAACTTTCGGAAAGTAGATATTTCCCATTTTTTATGATACAAATTTCGTTTCTATGATAATCTACTTCACAAAATTAGGTAATATTTCTCAAAATTGATAATCTACTTCCCCAAAAAGACGATAATTGTCATGGTTTTTAGGGGTGGATCGGTGGTAGTATGGTGGATTATATTATATAAAGATAATAATATATTTCTTATTTCTTACCGTAGAGTTCGATACCTTCACACTGGTCACTTACAGGAGATTATGGTGTATCTACGTAGAAAGTTCACTCCACCACCCGACATTCCAGGATTTATACTTGATAAATGATGATTTAATGAATTCATTTAATTTTCAACATCCATCTAAGTTACTGGTTATACTTTGTCTGTAATCCAGTCATTACCTTTAGTAATAATAAGATAGGATCACAGATACAGGCAGATAATTGCACTTACATTTATTTGTCAAGCTTCCATACAATGATTTACAATTTGCATGGATATATGATTCACTCACGTTCACGTTGTAATAAAATTAATCTTCTAAAAGAGAATTTTAACTTGGGGACACATGTGATTACTCTACTATGAGTATAACTTAACAGAGCCTTAATTCTTCAAGTGATACATTTACTGCCAGCCTGGATTGATTTTGTCGCAACCAGGCTTCCGCACAAGAACTTCTTTCCACGGGCCACAGCAACAAAAAGTACTCTTGGGTTACCACACATGGTGTCGTGCAGGAGAACTCTGTAAGCGTGACTTGAATTAACCATTTAGGTGCAATAGACCAGCCTGGATTGCTTTTGTCGCAACCAGGCATCCACACGTGATATTTCCACGGGGATAACAACCTAGGTTAACACGCTTAGTCTCGCGTCGACGACGGTTCACAGGACGGAGTGGCGGTGGAGGACTCTGTGTGGTGTGGTGTCCCGCCCCCTTCCAGGAGCGAGAGGATGGAGACGACGTCTTAACTAACCCATGGCTCAGGGGATACTACTTAAAATGAGGTTTTTGGGTGTGAAGCGATGAACAGTACAACACTGTTTCACTGCCCACCCCCCTAAAGGCTGGCTAACATACACTAATTGAAAATACATGTCCCAGTTATGCCTCGCCGGGCGTCTTATCTCTGGTAAAACAAACTTTGGTTTGGTAAAAGCAACGCAGCCGCGACAATGTCTACTTCCAGTAGATAATCTACTTTTTCTGATAGATAACCAACTTTCCGAAAATGAATATTTCCATTTTTTCAATTACAAATTTCTAGTTTTTCTGTGTTGATACTTTAAAATTAGGTGTGTTTAAAAATTCAAATAATCTACTTCCCCAAAGTCTAGATAATCTACTTTCCCGAAAAGAGATTAATATATAAACTTTATCCATCAATACTTCATATAACACCATCCACCATCACTACATATAATACCATCCATCATCACTACATATAACACCATCCATCATCACTACATATAACACCACCCATCATCACTGCATATAACACCATCCATCATCACTATATATAACACCATCCATCATCACTACATTTAACACCATCAATCATCACTATATATAACACCACCCATCATCACTATATATAACGTCATCCATCATCACTATATATAACATCATCAATCATCACTACATATAACACCATCATTCCATACCATATAACTTCCATCCATCATCACTACATATAACACCATCCATCATCACTACATATAACACCATCCACCATCACTACATATATACACCATCCGTCATCACTACATATAACACCATCCATCATCACTACATATAACACCATCCATCATCACTACATATATACACCATCCGTCATCACTACATATAACACCATCCATCATCACTACATATAACACCATCCATCATCACTACATATATACACCATCCGTCATCACTACATATAACACCATCCATCATCACTACATATAACACCACCCATCATCACTACATATAACACCACGAAAACCTATAGGTGGCGAGGAATTAGCATTGAAAGATGTCATTAAATTATTATTTCTGTAGTAGGGATATTAGCCAGTGAGGTCCCACCCCATGCTATCATTACACACGAACACGTCCACAAGTGTGGTAATGAGACGAATTTGAGTATAAAAGGCCTTTGAAAACCCCCGAAGCGCGTGTTTGAAGTCAAGAGGCGATACACGGGTTCATTACCAGACCCGGATACAGTGGTGTGGGAATGGACTCACTTCACGGGGGTTATGTAGTTGGAAGTCGTCCTAGTGTGGTGAAAATGAATGAGACTCCTGTAAATCGTGGCCACACACTCGCATGCTAGGTTAATGTTGCTGGAACACAAGTTAAGGTGTTGAAACTCTTGTATATCGCCGGCACTACACGTTACAGGCCTGAGTTCTTAACATAGTCCATACGTGACAAAGACGTGTACTGGAACATGAACCACGAAGGTTAATGATTCTTCCAGGGGTTAATTACATGACTCACGAAGGTTAATGAGTCTTCTAGGGGTTATACGGCAACTTGATGACTTTACACAACCTCTGACCATTACACCACCATGATGAGTCACCTTTACCTCTAATTACCTGGTCATTATCCCTCTTAATTACTCCACCCAGATGTAATTATGTATAAAAACATTAATTAAGATATTCTGCTGGAGATTAATTACATCACGGATTATAGAACTTTTTAATACGGTGATTATTGTACCGAGATTACACTGTATATTATGTAGCTGCACTATACAACACCCTGCACCATACAAATACATCATAATACACCATACAACATCCCCCCACTGTACAAATACAACACCCTACGCTATTCAAACACACCAGCTAAACATTACCATACAAATTGCCACACGTGTCACCCCATTCTCTGACTCCATCCATACAATACCAGACTCGTATCCTAGCTGTCGTGTCCTCTGTCTCTTCTGTTGCTCCTCCTCTGGTCACGATGGTTTTAACCCCCAGGTCATCCTTAGGGTTAGATCATTCTCGAGTCACCCAGTTCTCGTTAGTCACTCTTAAGCCACCCAGGTCAACCTCAGGCATTGCTAGGTCACTCTTAAGTCATCCAGGTCATCCTCAGGCATTGCTAGGTCACTCTTAAGTCATCCAGGTCATCCTCAGGCATTGCTAGGTCACTCTTAAGTCATCCAGGTCATCCTCAGGCATTACTAGGTCACTCTTAAGTCATCCAGGTCATCCTCAGGCATTGCTAGGTCACTCTTAAGTCATCCAGGTCATCCTCAGGCATTTTGCTAGGTCATCTTCAGGTCTCGTTAGGTTACACTCAAGTCTCCCAGTTCTCGCTAGGTCATGCTCAGGTCACCCAGGTCATTATTAAAGCACTAGATTCCTACAGGTCAGGACAGGTCAGGTCAAAACTGCCTGCCTGTCACCCATTACCATACAGAGGTTAGAGGTGAAAGGCGATCGTACTAGATTAAGAGGTTCATATGGATGGTAATGGTGTGGTGAGCAGGAATGTGGCGGTGGCGGCCTGGTGGTGGTAGTGGCGGCCTGGTGGTGGCGGTGGCGGCCTGGTGGTGGTAGTGGCGGCCTGGTGGTGGTAGTGGCGACCGTATTTACCTACCTGATAAGAGGCTCCGTCACTAGATTTCTCCTCCACCCACCCACCACCCACTCTTCCACCCACCACCCACCTCCACCCACCAATACTCCACTACCATCCCTGCAGACAACAAGATCCTCCCATCCCCACCCAACCAAACAATGAAAGTGACTGACCGGATCATTCAGTATCTTCATGTAGATGTTGATCGCCCTCACGCCGGGGATACAGTACTGGACCCGGATACTGTGGCCACGTAGCTTATAGTTGTTGAGTGTCGCTTGAGTCTCCTCGGCGTCGTCCGCATCGTTAAACTCCACCAGTCCCCAGTCCTGAAGAGCCCCGTTACGCATCGCGATCTGTGGGAGGAGGTGGTGAGATTGTATTACCGGACGTGGGGGCTACTGGTGCTGCTGGTAGGGGCTATAGAGAGGAGAGAGAGAGAGAGAGAGAGAGAGAATGTGAGAAAAAGTGAGAGGTGAGAGAATTAGAGAAAGAATGTGAGAAAAAGTGAGAAAGACCAGTACACACAGGTTTAAAGAATAAGCTCAATACACATCTGTCTAAACCAGTGACGAACATTAGAGCTCAACTTAAACCCTAACTTACTCATAACAAACCACTGACACTTAAACGTTACAGAAAACCCCTTAAACGTTACAGAAAACCCCTATCAACTAACCTGGCAGTATGGAGGATTGGTGACTTTACTGAAGACTCTCCTGAATTCCCCCATATCCCTGTAGTCCTTGGGCAGGCGGTCGACGTAGAGGCAGGTGGAGTGGAGAGAAGCAAAGGTGACGTGGCCAGGGTCAAGCCAGTCGCACACGAGCACTGAATCCCTCAGCTCTCGACCGTCCAACACCGACTTGGCCTGCAGTGCTACCTCCTTCGTCACGTACTCGATGAATCCATAACCCTTGCTCTCGCCTGCTGGTGGTCACAACGAAGAAGGTATAGTGTAGGTATGATGTTCTTTGTTAATGGTGATTGGTATAGTGAAAATAGTAGTAATAATAATGTTAATAGTATCAGTAATAGCGATAAAATATAATATGATGATAGTAATAATATAAGACAAATCACAATTACATCAATAATATGTAAAATGAGAAAAGGACGTGTTTGTATGTGCGTGTCTCGTCTTTCAGGGGGGTGCTAGGTAAAGTGGGCTTGGGGTCTTGACGCTGAGGGCTCAAGACTCTAACACTGAGGGCTGAGACACTCACACTCTTACGCCAAACTTTCATAACTCGATAAAGCTCACGGCCTTATTTGCATACTCAAAATGGCCAGCAAAGGCAGAGGAAATACAGAGTTTATATACTTTGACGCCTGTGTGTGTGTGTGTGTGTGTGTGTGTGTGTGTGTGTGTGTGTGTGTGTGTGTGTGTGTGTGTGAACGTATCTAGTTATGGTCGAGGCTCTCTCTCTCCACACACACACACACACACACACCCACACACACACACACACACACACACACAGAGGCCATTATAATGTGACTTTACTCTGGGTTAAATCTCATTGTCGCTACGTGTCCGGTAAGCAAGACCTGACATATTGCGTTCTTGGTACCATCAGGAGTACAAACTCAATAACACGGTCACACACCTCCTTAGGGGACGCAGACGGAGGTATTAACGTAGTAGGGGGTGACGGCGAGAGCGTGTCAAAGAAAATGTGGGTTGCGTGTCTTGGTGTAGAATGGCAGGGGGAAACTTGGGTAAAATTTGATTACTCTATGAAGTACCTACATGTTTCTCCTGCTGCTGCCCCCTCCACCTTCCTCCTACCTCCTTCTCTTCCTACTGCCTTCTTTTCCTCCTCCTGCCCTTCCCCCTTCTCTTCCTTATCATACAACAATAGTATATAATTTATACATAATAATACAACAGTTATACGTGACCTACCAACCAGCATGGCCGGCCACCTAGGTGTGAATTTGTTTAAGGTGTAGAAGCTGTCGCCTACACAACAACTACACCCTGAGTTAACGAGCTGCATGACCCAGTTCGAGAAGACCGGACAACTCGCCAACTGCACTGGCTAACTATTACCCGGGAATACGATCCACAAATCGATTAACATCCAGGTCCCCAATTACTGCTGGGTAGACAGAGGCAAATGAGGCAAATGGCGTAAAGAAACTTGTCCATAGTTTCACCCAGCCCGGGGATCGAACTCGGGTCAGCTCTCTTGCGAGGCGAGGATGGTGACCATTACACCACAGCCACCTTACACATTAACATACACACAACTTAGTATACACACCAACATACACACCTATATGTCTACACGCCTCCACACCATCATACACACAACTATGTATACACCGCTGTTATACAAGGTTAGGTGAAATAATACATAGTGGAGGAACAGGAGGTCACACGGCCTGGGTCAAGGGGTGGTAGTAGTAGTAAGCCTTATAACTTAATATGTCGAGTTTATGTGTGTGTGGGTGGTGGGGTTATGGTGGTGGGGGTGGGGGAGGTTAAGGAAGAGAAGGAGGGGAAAGGGGCCTAGTAAGGAAGATAGAGAGTGGAGTGGGGATGAGTGGGAGGGAGAGTGAGAAAGATAGATAAATAGATATCAATATAGAGACAGGAGGAGGGGGGGAGGAGTCTGGTCGGTCTAACAAGATTACAAAGTGTGGGCGTAGGAGGATGTCTCTCTCTCTCTCTCTCTCTCTCTCTCTCTCTCTCTCTCTCTGTAGGAACACATGTCGCTGAGTCCAGGTTGCCTACGAGTATAAAACGCCCTGGACTAATGACCCTTCCCCCCCCCTCATCCCCTACATCCCAGGACCACTAACCCCTCCCCCCTCGCCTCCCCACACGGAAACCAATTATATAGAATGGAAGGACACGAAGATGGTCTGGTATAAGGGGGGGTTGGCCTGCCTTCCTTCCTTCCTTCCAACTACTTCCTCTTTCTCCCCTCCATCTTCCACTTCGATTCTTTCCTTCCTTCCTCTTCCCCCTTCTCCCCCTCCTACTCCCCCCTCCAACACCTAACCTAACCTAACTCAGCGCTGAGGGTAAACATCTTCTGAAGTCACCAAATGAAATAACTGCCTCGTCATCACCAGCCTTCACATATAATAAGGTGGGTAACGAAGTCGTAAAATGGAAACGACTCGCTGGAGGAAATTCGTTTTTTTTAAGCCTCCTTGTGTATGGTTGTTAGGTGTTGGGGGAGGGGGGTGAGGGTGGGAAGAATGGTGGTTGGGGAGGTGAAATGAGGGTGGGGGGGGTGTGATGGTAGTGGTGCTGGAGGGAGATAACAGAACTCATGGTAATAATGGTGACAGTAATGGTGGCAGCAACATCTAAGTAGCCATCACTGAGGCCCCTCCATTACACACACAGTAGCTTAACTGACCTGTCTTCTCTGACCGCATGAGGAAACAGTAGGACACCTCGCCCAGGGATCCGACCAGTCCTGCAAACTCCTCCTCGGTGCAATCTGAAGGTAGTCTAGCCACACACAGAAGTCCTTCGGTGTTGGAGGGGGAGATGGTGACCTTGTGACCTCTGAGGGTGTGGTGACTTGACTTAGCCCACGCCTCTAGCACCTCAGGTTCAGCTAACAACACCCGCGCTGACCCGTTCGATGGTTGGATCTGGACGCTGTGAACGAGGTAGCCAGAGAGCAGTTCGCGGACCTCCTGTTGTGGAAGAGAGAGAGATTACCTGAGTTAGTGTCTGCATAAACAAGGGAGAATCATGATGCGTGTGTGTGTGTGTGGGGCAAGGTATGGTGATGATGGTGTATGTGGTGTATGGTGTCATAGCTAGTGAGTATTGTGTTAGTCCATCATCATCATCACAATATACACAATAAAGACAATCTTACCTTAATCACCATAACACACCTGACTTTAATTAACACCAGGTATATTGAAACGTATGGATATTAATCTCACCTGAACAATAAGACTCTCCACCCTAAGATTAAATAACACGTATGTAACCTTGAATACCTAGACGTGACCTTTAAAACACACACACACACACACACACACACACACACAGTACGTACACAAATACCGCCCCAAAACCACTGGAAAGAAAAATGCCCACCGCTTATTGGTTCATTCGTCAGCCAATCGGTGCGTAGTTTGCCTAAAGCCCCGTGGAAAAATGCCCGCCGCCCATTGGTCTGTATTTGTCAGCCAATCAGATGAAAGCTCGAGAGTCTGCTGTGTATAAATAATGACCAGGACTAGCGGAGCCAACCAGAGTGAACCAAACCTTAGTGGAGTGAACCTCTCTCTCTCTCTCTCTCTCTCTCTCTCTTTTTGCCCCACACTTCAGTATTAGGTTAAAAATGGAATGCAATCGGAGCGTTGTGGGATGCTTGAGTATACAGTGTGTGTGTGTGTGGAGGGGGGAAGACACAAAGAAAAGTTACCTTAGGCGAGTATACAATGTTAACCTGTTTTATTCTCTCGTGTTTACAATTACAACAGAGAGAGAGAGAGAGGTTTTATTGTGGTACTCTATGTATGTATGTGTGTGTGTGTTTGTGTATGTATGAGTGTATCCGTGTGTATGTGGCCAGGTAGGTATAACAGACACAGGTATGTAAACATCGTCTCCACTCACCACAACACACCTGAATTAATCCTACACGGTACACCGGCCATACAAACAAGCCCTCCCAACACAAAGACTGCACACACAACTGTAAAGTAACTCACTAAATCAAAATAAGATTGATATGTTAAACACGAGGTCTGGATGACGTCCGGATTAGACACCCCACACCTTATTTAACCTGGTTTAACCTAATCTACCTTAACCTAACCTAATCCCAACCTAATCTACCTTAACCTAACCTAATCCCAATCTAATCTACCTTAACCTAACCTAATCCCAACCTAATCTACCTTAACCTAACCTAATCCCAATCTAATCTATCTAAATAAAAACAATAATATTTACAAACACTTTTTATTGTGTAAACAGAGACAGACAAAAGAGGCAAACACACACACACACACACACACACACACACACACACACACACACACACACACCATCACCCAAAGCCACACACAAACAAAAGCAACCTATTTTTTGTTTACATTTGAAATGCAGTAGGTCTCTCACTAAGGAAGAATACCCCCTACCTCACATATGACCCCCTCCCCACTCCCTCCCTCATCCCCCTCCTCTCCCCCCTCCAGCCACACCACGTTTTCTATCACCAGCCATTGACAGAAAAAAGTAAAATCAAGAGTAAGAAGGACAAACTTAGATAATTTCACCTCTCGCAAATTGGTGTAAAGTTGAAGTGTCTTGAGGGTTACACAGAGGCCAAGGGCGTGATGGTGTTGGCTGTAGCTATAGGATTAAGCCCTTGTGTATGTGTGTGTGTGTGTGTGTGTCGAAAAGTTCCAATTCTTAAGTTAAACGATAAGCAGAGTGGAGCGGGGACTATTGTAGCCTGGAGTACCACCACTATATTCACTCCTGTCACTATACTAACTCCATATAGTATAGTGGAGCGGGAACTATTGTAGCCTGGAGTACCACCACTATATTCACTCCTGTCACTATACTAACTCCATATAGTATAGTGGAGCGGGGACTATTGTAGCCTGGAGTACCACTAGACTAACTCCACTACTATACAACTCTCGGTTCATATATCTCCGCCAGGACGAAGTTAGAGTGAACTGTCAGCTGGTTGAGAGCACTGCCTGACACACACACATACACATACACACACACACACACACACACACACACACAGACGATGATAACAACCCTGGGAACTGCCTAACAACACGTGACGTCATAATATAAGGAAGTCGAGTTATGGAGAAGGAAGGAGAGGAAGAGGAGGAAGAACTAAGGAAGAGAGAGAGAGAGAGAGCCAGTGTCAACAAGTGGGGCCGAGGGATGGCACCTTGGCACTCCCATTTGTTGGCCCTGGAGTGAGGATTTTCAGCCGAGTCTGATATTAAACCATCCATCACGTTCACTACCTCTTCTTCCTCTTTTGTTTCTTTTCCTCTCTCATTGTATTTCATAATAAACCTCTCCCCTCCTCTCTCTCATCATACACTGCCCAATACCCCTCTCTCTCTCTCTCTCTCGATAAAATAGAGAGTGTGTGTGTGTGTGTGATAAGCTCTACGGTATACGACAGCCATATTTCATGCACCCAAATAACAAGTAGGTGGAGGTAGCGTTGTGAGAGACCCTTACTGTGTTGTGAGGTAACGACACAACACACACTCTTCTGTAACAATGGGCTGGGTTTATGACACAGCGCCGTGAGAGGTATGTTAACATCACAACGCCCTAACCTAACCCTACAGTTCCCCTCCCCATCTCCCCACCTCCCCCCTCCCCATCACCCCTCTACAAACAAACAGCCAAGTGGCTTTCTCTCCTTTTCCTAAATCCCATCTTGAAGACGCTAATAAAAGCCACATTAATTCTTGCTGATGTGGCCTAGCTGGTGTGGTTGTGGTGTGGTAGTAGGGGTGTGGCGTTGACTAATACAACAAAGAAGTCCTTAGGCTGACGTGTAGACTTGTGTCACAATGGGAACTTGGGGAGTGGAGAGGGGGTGTGGGGATGGGGGTGAGAGGGAGGAGGAGGGGTGAGAGAAGGGAAGGCGGCTAGGAAGGGGAGGGAATCAAAGCCCAGATCCCCCTCCTCCCCACCTCCTTCGTCTTCACCTCTCTTTATCCCTCTTCCTTCTTCCCCCCTCTTCCTTCTTCCCCCTCTCTTTTCTCCCTCCTCTCCTCTTCTTTGTCCTTCTCCTCTCGTCTCCTTCCTGACCTCCTCTTTGTTCTTCCACCTCCCTGCCTCCTCCTCCTCCCCCTTCTCTATCCGTCTTTATTCATCTCCTCCTCCTCCTCCTGTCTCTCCCTCCTCTCATATTGACTTCCATTTTATCTTCTTCTCCCTCTTCCTCACCCCTCCTTTACTCCGTCTCCTCCTCTCCTTTATTCTTTCTCACGCCCCCCCCCTCATGGGCTTCTCGACGCGACTGCAGGAGACTTTCGGCCCCCCCTCCTCTCCCCTCCCCTTCCTGCCACACTGCTGTCAACATTATATTTCAGTTGGTGCTGTGACGCTGTTCGCCTTTTACTGCTGTTTTTGTTGCTGTAATTGTTGCTGCACTTGCTATTTTGGCTGTTGTATTTGCTGTATTCGCTGTTTTTGTTACTGTATTTGGTGTTTTTGTTACTGTATTTGCTTCAGCTGCTACCAGAGAGAGAGAGAGAGAGATCTGGATTATATAGTAGACAAGTATTAATAAATCCAGGTTACATATAAGAGCTCAGGACGGATGGTTGCAGATAAAAATATTTAGTTTAATTAATACTTCAAACACACCTAGACTTGGGGAGCTTAATGAACCTGGGGGTGGGGAGATGTGTGGGAGAGGGGAGGGAGGGGGAAGGGAGTTTTGAGGAGAGAGAGAGAGAGAGAGAGATCGACTTGCACAGTACACCCCCCCACACACACACCAAGTCCTTCAGTCAGTCAGGCGCTTCTTATATCAATATATCCGAAGCTCTATAAAACTACCCGTGATCTGAAGGACTACTGAAGGAGGGCTGTAGGAAGGGCCACACTGCCCTGCTTCCATTCTTTAGGTCGAGTCAATTTGGTGAGGGTAAAAACTATGCCAATCTGTTTTTGTTTTTATCTGACGGAACAAAAGTAGCGTCCGGCAGGTGTGTGTGTGTTAAATCACCAGGTGTACTAAGGTAGGGTGGGGTTACTTAACAGGTAATCTCAATATACATAATAAACCCACGTGTCATTGTTTACATTCAAGTCTTGTGGTGTTAAGTGGTGCTATCACTCTATACCTATAATGGCGTCTGGTTCACCTATAATGGCGTTTTGCCCCATAATGGCGTCGGTCCCAATGTTTCCTCCCATAATGGCGGTCACAATATTTGCTGCTCCCATAAGGCGTTGGTCTATAAGCTTCTGCTCCCATAAGTTGTCTACCAAAGGCGTGCTCCTAAGCGTCTGTCACCAATAATGGCGTTTTTCTCCCAAATGGCGTCTGGTCTACCAAAATGGCGTTTGTGCTCCCCATAATGCTGCTACCAATAATGGCACTGAGAGAGAGAAGAGAGAGAGAGAGAGAGAGAGAGACCAGGTATCGCCACTTAATTAGGAAGACAGTAGAGAGCAATTACCGCCTCGGTTAACGATGTGTTGGCTAGTTAATATGGTGTAATTAGCTGGCCGGATCCTCACTACCTGGGACGTGTGTGTGTGTGTGAGTTCTAACTTCTCGCTTACATGCCTTCACTTCTTTGTACTGTCACCCCCCTGCCCGCACACACACACACACACACACACACACACGTAAGCTAAGAGCAATACGGTACATAACAGATCGTTCTTGTTATTACTACTAACAGCTGGCAAGACCTACAGGGCCACCTACCTTAACTTTACCCCACCCTGACTTAGTGCCAGAGTCGCCTAGTGCCACCCTGACTTAGTGCCAGTCGCCTAGTGCCACCCTGACTTAGTTCCTGTATTTCCGGGTTCGGTTGGGGATACAGTAGTCGGGTAGTTAGTCGATTATCCGGGGTCGATAGTCAATTACCCGAGGTAGCAAATCAATTATCCGGGGTAATTAATCGATTATCCGGGGTAATGACTCGATTATCCAGTATTGAGTCGATTAACCACAAACTTCGG